TATATTTCATAGTCTTCTGGGAAAACATTGTTTAAGTCTAAATTGCACAAAGTATGTCTTATTTGATAGAGTTTAAGGAAATATGGCACCAAAAGGGAGTTGGGGAGCGTTTGGGGAACATCTGTAACGGTCCCCGTTACAATTAGCCCTAGTTTACCGTAGAGTTAAGATATTTTGATTCTGAGAATTGCTCTTAACTTATATTCCATTATAATTGTAAACCCTACATTATATGTACGTGCCATTTTAGAAATCACGTGGTAAAAGTAAACAGATCTAAGATGTACGACCCTTGATTTTCCGGCAGATTCTAATTACGTTAATTTTGTATGAGGAGAGAATATTTATTTTTTCTCAAAATGCTTACGTCAACTTTATACCTTATTCGTGAATGATATATTGGGAAAATTTGAATGAAAAAGCACACGATTTGCAGCCGTATTGCCGCTTTAAAATTATTATTTGTCGGTTGAATGCAGAATTAATGACCACCAAATCAATTTTTTGTTGGAAATGTTCACCTACCCATTAAGTATATTTTTACTTATATCATCATTTAGTACACGTTTTCTAGTTAAAATTCCTGAAGTGATAATAGAAATGACTTTTGGATAAAAAGTAACTTTTTCAGAAAAAAAAAAAATATCACTCCATCCATCGTTCAATACCCAATCGCAGTGTAAGAAATACTGCTGATGTAATTTGTTGATTTAAATTGCGATGGAAACAAAACTTGTCATCGACTGAATATGAGGTCACAATAGCGATCGAGGCGTAAATATTTAAGGAATGGAGCTTATTTCTCTTTTGTTATACGATATAACATAACTTGAGGCAGTTTTTGCTTTATTAACCGCTTCGCGGTTTATAAAAAAGCGTAATCTGCCCCAAGTTATGTTATATCGTATAACATAAGTTGAAATAAGCTTTGGAAATTCCTTATAATTTAATTTCAATGTTGACAATGACACACTTTTTTTCTATATTTTTTCTATCTGTCAAAGGCTTCAATTATCGCAGTTTCGTAGGCAATTTATGTTATACAAAATGGATAAAACCATTTAACCAATCAAATGACGTGTTACAACAAAAATCAAATTATTCAAGATTAAGACACATTCTGTGATCAAGCAGCCAGAAAGAGCTACTGTAGATCACTAAATTTTCGCGACACCTTAAATATTTTTTCGATTCTTATATTTCTTACCATGCAGGTTAATTTTTTCAACAGAATAGTCCATTTGGATATGGATAAACTTTCCTAGAAAGAGTACGGTGACCATCACAACCCGTGTACTCTGTCTTAGGAACGTCTTTTATCCAACATAAATATACATTTAATATGTTAAAAGTCTAAATCAAACGATATTTTAGGGATTTGCTAACAATATTATTGTTAAGATATGTCACCATTTCTCTTGATTTAACCTTGCATTCTTTCATAACAATTGCTTAACAAAGGACACAGTTCTTTCCTAGCTTTCTTTCCCTGGGCTACAAAATAAACGTCACTTTTTAAACAATCTCGCTCCCTTCACTAAAACAATCAATCTAATGTTTGATTGAACGTCTGGAAAATCCATTGTCTTCGTAAACCTTGTAGAAATTATTATAAGATACTTCAAAGGATTTTCTAAGTTATATGTTGAACTTTAAAGTGCTTCTCAAGTTAGACTATGACAACCATTTTTCGTCGCCTACATATTGACGTCATTTTTATATTGTGACGTCACAATGATAGAGAAATTAATTAATTCTAATATGCTTTAAGGACGTTCGATCCTGATATTTTGAGCGTATTTCGCGCAGGTCCTTTATAATTCATAAAATTAAGCATCATTTTAGGTTCTAACAATAAAACTGAATTCTACAATGCAAATTCAACTATATTCAATGAAAAAACCGCGATTTAATTCCATTCAAGTAGAATTAAGCTAGGGACTATATTTTGTAGCAGAAGGTTTTTAGACGAAAATGGTCAGTTTTTTCCATTTGAAACTATAACAGTACTGTTAATTTTGGATGCCTATTTTTCCATGCTGGTTGCACACAAAGCTGTTTTTGCAGTGAAATATGTTATGCTGGTTTTGTAATATCTATTAAATTATTTCTTATGAATTCTATCAACAAAGTGTGACAAATATAGTATATATATTCTGAAAATCCGGGAAAAAATTGAGCCAATTTAAACGTAAAATTCACACTTTTTTAGTAATATCTGAAAATGTACATCATATACCCCCGCTTTTGATGTTCTTTTCTAAATATTCAAGATAACTTTGATCTATTTGCTTAAAATTGGAAAAAGTTTAAGACTTTAAAATAATTTTCTTGCTTATTATACTTTCAATACCGGAAAAATAACATTTTATTAGTGCAGAAAGGTCAAATAATTGATTATGCGAAGCAATTTGAAACTTTTTCTTAGTCACAATTTTTAAGTGTCTTTTTTTAAATAGACTTAGAGTTCATTTTTTCTCATGCTTTAATTGGATAAAAATATTGGAGGGAAAACGTCGAAGATGTAATTTTTAATTAAGACACAAATTTCAGTGCAGAAAGGTCATATAAGATGTACTGTAGCGCTAAAAGAAGCATATTGACCCCCATTTTTTGATTTGAATTTTAATTAAGCTATGTATGTAGAAACTAAAAATATACTTGGCAAAAAAAGTTTAAGACTTTAAATATCAGGATCGAACGTCGTTAAGGTCAAGATCTAATAATACAAATCTAAATTTAACTTATTGATTCCCTGTGTTTTGATTGGACGAGAGCAACTTCGAGAAAAAGCTTACACATCGAACGATTTTTTCAATCAGAACTACTTTCTTGACTGTTGTAAAAACAATGAAAAAAGATACTTCTAGTCTGTTTTTTATCTAAATTATGATTACAAGAAACTTAAAATAAAAGATGAATGAATGAATGAATTAAAAGGAAATAAACAGGACTGACAGGCGGGAATATATGTTTATGTCACTGTTAGATCACGAGTGTGAATTTTAAAAAATCGCTGATAATGCTGTCATTTTCTCGACGTTCCATATCAGCTCAGTTGATATCGCTGTGATAGGGAAAAGAAACGTACCTCAGACTCTTACCTTTTCAGCATCAAATTCATATATTTACGTCATTCAGATCCCATATTCTCCCTATATCTTTGAACGCACCAGATCAAATCGAGGACGTCGTCGGTCTGCAACTTTCGCTTTGACCTTGTCGTTAATGTCAACATGGCTATGGACGAATTATTCTGGAAATTACGCATATTTACGATATTTGTTGACTTAAACAACATTCAGTAAGTTTTTATAAGTTTATTCATTGATTGTTTGACAATTTGAGATGGATTTTTATCGATATTCATCTTGTATACGTTTCTTTGCAGGTTAAAGTATTCCAACGCAGTACAAAATAACGGATTGTATGGCGGCCTCAAAGAGAAATAATTTTAATTATTTTAAAAATTCGTTATTGGAATTATAAGAATTAAACGTTCTTTTTTTCAGAATTTATCGATGTGTAAACTCTGCCTTTTTACTCACACTTTGCATTTTTATTCAGTTTGTGAGTAGAAAGGCAGAGTTTACACATCGAAAAATTATGAAAAAAAAAAGTTTAATCCTATAACAAATGTCCCTAAACTAAATTTTTGGTACAAGATCCATTATGACGTCATAATAAACTTTCTTTTTCCGAACTTTACGGCTCTGATAAAATAAAGTATTTTCATGGAATTCAATTTGAAATTACATGAAATTACATGAAAAATAGTCCGGATACCTACAGGTATATTAAATTTGACATAATTTTAAAGAAAAGGACAAGAAGATACAAATTACCGTTTTCTGAAAGACTGTAGGCTATTTGGATACATTTTCTTAGTATGATATGGAAAAAACTCACATTTTCCTGACTTGTTTTCTTAATTTTTCATTCAAAATGACAGTTAAAACATTATTTTTCATCTTGTTTTCCTACAAAATTTGCCCCTAAACACCTTATGTGACCAAGCTAATTGCATAAGGCATCATTAACTGAGTTTTATACATCTGTAGGCACCTTTCATTTACTAGATCTTGGCCTTAAGGTATACCTTTACTCAGATGACTAACAATTCCACTGATAAATATTCTATATAAACAGAACCATCTATACACATAATAAAGAATAAGCAAACAAATCTTTATATCCATACTGCTTCAATATACATGTAAACATTTAATAATTCTACAAATTCAGTCAGGTGGGGGGGGGGGGGTTCCACCCCAACCCCCCTCTCCGAACTGCGCATGGTCTTCTGTTTTTCCTAAGCGGGGGACACAAATTCTCCGAATTAGCTTGTTTTATTTTTTTTTAATTCCTACGCATTCCTCTGTAAAACTTTGATCAGCAATTTTGGCCCCATCCTATCCTCGGAGGTCATGATTTGAACAAAGTTGAATCTACACTACCTGAGGATGCCCCTATATATGTTTCATTTTTCCTGGCCTGATGTGTCTGGAGAAAATGATTTTTAAAAGATATTTTCTATATATTCCTATATGTATCTTTAACCTTTCATTTATTGTGGCTCGCTCTACCCCCCTGCCCCCAAGGTCATGAGTTGAAAAAAAATATCTTGAATCCACACTACCTGTACTGTGAATGCTTCCTCTTTCCTGGCCCAAACGTTCCTAAGAGGATTTCTTAAAAAGATGCCCTTCATTTTTCATTTATTCATATTTATTTTCCCTTTGAAGAGGGGTTGATCCTTCATTTAAAAAAAATGAATCCCCTTCACCCAAGGATACTTTGTGGCAAGTTTTGTTGAAATTGGTCCAGTGGCTCTTGAAAAGAAAATGAAATTTAAAAAAGTTTCCGACATCAACGCTAACGAAAACGACAGACAATTGACAAATTTTGATCAGAAATGTTCACTTGAACCTCAGGTGAGCTGAACGTAATTTTGTTTATCTACCATTCGGAGTAGTCATCAAAACTTCATTGCAAGAAGTTTATGAGAGTTTATTACTGTAACTGATATGATAACCATAATTAGACTCTAGGAGACTAAGGCGTTGAGTGTCTATTTTGTATTTTGTTAAACTTGAAATTTTGTTATACTTCTCCTCATTCTTCAAGTTATAAGAAGAATATTTAGAGGCTAGTTCGATTGCAGAAGACAGGAGGTTTTTCAGTTCGTATTTTTCAGCAGCGATTATGTAATCTAAAAGTGTTTTTCTAGTAAAGGTTCCAATCATTTCACATGTATCATCTTTACATTGTCGACAAATAGCCACTAGACGGTTCTCGCATTTCTCCATCTTGTCTTCGTGTTGATCTTCCCATGCTAATTCCATTAACTTTAAAATATTTTCTTCTCCTAAAATAAAAGGATTATTATAAGGATTAGAATATATATATATATATATATATATATATATATATATATATATATATATATATATATATATATATATATATATATATATATATATAGGTAAATCTTTTAAAAAAAGAAACACGAAAACCTTAAATTTAGCTTAAGCGCTTTCATTTCAAATCTTCAGAAGCTTTATAATACGTAACATAGCAACATAACGTCATAACGTCATAATAAGTGGAACATTACATACAAACGTCTATTGTGACGTCATAGTCAAACTTTGCGGGAAAAATGTAGAATGAAAATAATAAGTACAATTTTTACAACAAATATGCTTAATTGTTCAGTCTAGGTTTGAACATATGTATAAAATGTTTTTCTTTCTCACGTCTCTGAATATCACTTTCACTTGAAAGTTTGTAAAAAGGAAATATAGTGAATTGTTTATTTCCACAAGTATCCAAATGTTCACTCAGAGGGATTTGCCGATATTCCGGAGAGTTAATATGTTGTCGGTGGACACGCACCCGGGCACGCAATTGATTGCTCGTTTCCCCGATATAAAATTCTTGGCATCCAGCACACGTAATTACATATATTACATTTTTAGTGGCACAAGACATGTTTGCATTGACTGTGAATTGTCTTCCATTAAAGTCATAAGTTGATCGTTCCATTATATGTGCACACGTCCCGCAACGCGCGTCTTCACACTTGGTCACTTTGTAACTATTCTTAAAATGGGACGAACACAGAATTCTTCTAAGATTCTTGGGCTGTCGTCTGCTGTTAATAAATTTTACATCTCTATATATTTGTTGTGTTTACCGGTCCGTTTTGAGAACGACGTTAAGTTGGTGTACTACGGAGGTCAAATTATGATTCCTTGGATTGTGGGTATGTACAAATGGAATTATATCCGTTTTATTTTCCTTGGTTTTTGTAGAGAGTAATTCTGACCGTTCGTATCCTTTGGCTTTCAATATCCCGTTATCTATCAGGTTTTGAGGATATCCTTGTTTTAAAAGGTATAACTTGAGTTCTTTTAGTCGGATATCTCTGGTGCTTTCGTCACTAACGATGGCACATAAACGTCTAGCCAGATTGTATGGAATTGCTGTTTTTGTGTGATGAGGGTGACAGGAACCAAAATGTAAATACTGGTGGGTGTCAGTTGACTTGTAGAAGATATCCGTTGAAAGTTTTGTATCTTCTTTGATGACAAGAACGTCAAGGAAAGGTAATTTTGTATCGCTGCTTTACATGGTAAATTTAATGTTGGAATCTAAGTTGTTTAATAATTGGTGGAAAATTGATAGTCTCTCATTGTTGTCATTCCACAGAATGAAACAGTCATCTAAAAATCGTTTCCACTTTGATGTTATAGCTTCAGCATCCTCTTCTCCCCACAGAGTGACTAGTCGTTGATGGAGTTTTTGCTCGAGGTAGCCCAACGTTAAAGTGGCATACGTGGGAGCCACTTTTGTTCCCAACGCTGTTCCTTTGGTTTGAATAAAATGCTCTATTCCGAAGGCAAACGTATTGTTTTGCAGTATAATTCTTAGTCCCTCTAAGATGAATTCTTGCTCAAAACGATCCTGTAGTAAGTCTGGGTATCTCTCAATCCAGTATTTAACCGCTTTAATACCCAAGTCTACGGATATATTTGTGTATAAATTCACGACGTCGAATGACACCAGTTTCGTATCACGTTGAATATTTTCTGGTAGGTGGTTGATAAAATCTATATCATCTCTTATAAAACTGGGAACCTTTTCACAATAAGGCTGTAATAAAATGTCTAACAAGTGACTAAGTCTTTGAGTTGAACAATTAGGCCCCCCTACGATTGGCCGAAAAGAGAGGTCTTCAGGATTTAGACAGCAAATATATTCTCCTTTCTGAGCTTGTATGAATCCCAATGCCACGAGAAATCAGAAAGCAAACCAAGCATTGCCCCCAAAACAAAGGCTACATCGCCATTACACTCGATGGACAACGTTTAATAACGCGAGACGAAATTCGCCCCACTCCTATCCGAAAAACCATATCTTTAAGACGAATTACCAACAAAGAATTAACCACCTACAAAATAATAACCACCATCACCAACGGATTATTAGACGGTACAAACCCTCCAACATTTATAGAAATGAAAAAACAACTTTCATTGGACGTGGTGTGCGGCACTATTTTTTAGGAGGCGGCAAGCCAAACCAAGGACAGAGGCACATACCACAATTATATCAACAGACAACGCAAATCTAGTTGATGTTGAAGAAACAAATAAAACCAAGGAATCAGTAGAAGTTGATCCTAAAGTGTTTAATCTTTCAGATAGGATATTAACTAAAGCAGAGAAAAATTTATTATCTAGAGGCTTGAAATATACACCCACATAACGTATGAATAACCAAGAACTTAAAACGGACGTAAAGGAATATACAAGGCGACTACGACTAAGGGAATACTTTTACGAGAATAACGACGAATCAACAGAAGATAGTGAAAATGAGGAACCAGAGGACCTTGTTAGAAATAAATCCCACTTTATTCCAAAACGAGGTAGAAATCGAACTCTAGATACGGTATGTGAAACCCTAGATAATATTAACCTACCTAATATTAAGAAAAATATTAGATCTAATCTCACAAAAGAAGAGCAAAAAGCTTTAAATGACTTACATAATAACGAAAGTATAGTTATCAAGGAAGCCGACAAAGGAGGCGGGGTAGTCATCATGAATAAAACATATTACGAACGTAAGATTTTGAATATGCTACAGGACCCTAACTACTATGGGAGTATTAATGCAAATCACGAGACAAAAACTTTAGCAAAGATAAAACAACTTGTCAGTGGGCCATCCTCGGGAGATATCACTGCTAAGGAGAAGGACTATCTCACAAACTTTGAAACAAAAGAGAGTCAATTTTACGGATTACCAAAAGTACACAAGTCATCAGAAATCAAAAACGCCATACAAGCTCAGAAAGGAGAATATATTTGCTGTCTAAATCCTGAAGACCTCTCTTCTCGGCCAATCGTAGGGGGGCCTAATTGTTCAACTCAAAGACTTAGTCACTTGTTAGACATTTTATTAAAGCCTTATTGTGAAAAGGTTCCCAGTTTTATAAGAGATGATATAGATTTTATCAACCACCTACCAGAAAATATTCAACGTGATACGAAACTGGTGTCATTCGACGTCGTGAATTTATACACAAATATACCCGTAGACTTGGGTATTAAAGCGGTTAAATACTGGATTGAGAGATACCCAGACTTACTACAGGATCGTTTTGAGCAAGAATTCATCTTAGAGGGACTAAGAATTATACTGCAAAACAATACGTTTGCCTTCGGAATAGAGCATTTTATTCAAACCAAAGGAACAGCGCTGGGAACAAAAGTGGCTCCCACGTATGCCACTTTAACGTTGGGATACCTCGAGCAAAAACTCCATCAACGACTAGTCACTCTGTGGGGAGAAGAGGATGCTGAAGCTATAACATCAAAGTGGAAACGGTATTTAGATGACTGTTTCATTCTGTGGAATGACAACAATGAGAGACTATCAATTTTCCACCAATTATTAAACAACTTAGATTCCAACATTAAATTTACCATGTAAAGCAGCGATACAAAATTACCTTTCCTTGACGTTCTTGTCATCAAAGAAGATACAAAACTTTCAACGGATATCTTCTACAAGTCAACTGACACCCACCAGTATTTACATTTTGGTTCCTGTCACCCTCATCACACAAAAACAGCAATTCCATACAATCTGGCTAGACTTTTATGTGCCATCGTTAGTGACGAAAGCACCAGAGATATCCGACTAAAAGAACTCAAGTTATACCTTTTAAAACAAGGATATCCTCAAAACCTGATAGATAACGGGATATTGAAAGCCAAAGGATACGAACGGTCAGAATTACTCTCTACAAAAACCAAGGAAAATAAAACGGATATAATTCCATTTGTACATACCCACAATCCAAGGAATCATAATTTGACCTCCGTAGTACACCAACTTAACGTCGTTCTCAAAACGGACCGGTAAACACAACAAATATATAGAGATGTAAAATTTATTAACAGCAGACGACAGCCCAAGAATCTTAGAAGAATTCTGTGTTCGTCCCATTTTAAGAATAGTTACAAAGTGACCAAGTGTGAAGACGCGCGTTGCGGGACGTGTGCACATATAATGGAACGATCAACTTATGACTTTAATGGAAGACAATTCACAGTCAATGCAAACATGTCTTGTGCCACTAAAAATGTAATATATGTAATTACGTGTGCTGGATGCCAAGAATTTTATATCGGGGAAACGAGCAATCAATTGCGTGCCCGGGTGCGTGTCCACCGACAACATATTAACTCTCCGGAATATCGGCAAATCCCTCTGAGTGAACATTTGGATACTTGTGGAAATAAACAATTCACTATATTTCCTTTTTACAAACTTTCAAGTGAAAGTGATATTCAGAGACGTGAGAAAGAAAAACATTTTATACATATGTTCAAACCTAGACTGAACAATTAAGCATATTTGTTGTAAAAATTGTACTTATTATTTTCATTCTACATTTTTCCCGCAAAGTTTGACTATGACGTCACAATAGACGTTTGTATGTAATGTTCCACTTATTATGACGTTATGACGTTATGTTGCTATGTTACGTATTATAAAGCTTCTGAAGATTTGAAATGAAAGCGCTTAAGCTAAATTTAAGGTTTTCGTGTTTCTTTTTTTAAAAGATTTACCTGTAAACTACCGAGCACTGTGGATTTTTTTCTGTTTTATATATATATATATATATATATATATATATATATATATATATAATCAAAAACTTTAAAACACTTTTCGAAATATTTCAACCGTGTTACCGGCCTTCATCAGTCGTGTTTATTTATATATATAGAATTATTAGAATTAGGATAATAAAACATACCATTCCACTGGTGAACTAGAAGAACATTATACCAGGGTGCTTCCACATAAGTGTCAGCTTTTCCATGGTTCATGAGTAGCAGATTTTTAAAGATTTTCCTTTCTATGTAAAACTTGAATTCCTTATTGTAACCCTATCCTACCCCTGGTGTCATGATTTGTGCAATTTAAAATGTACACTACACAAGGATGCTTCGATATAAATTTTAACTTTTCTTGCGCAGTGGTTCTTGTGAAGAAGATTTTTAAAGTTTTTTCCTACACATTTCAATGTAAAACTTGGATTCCCTATATTTGGAGTCATGCTTTGAACAATTTAAAATCTAGCCCTCCTTAGGATGCTTCTACATAAGTTTTAGCTTTTCTAGCCCAGAATTTTAAAGATTTTTCCTATACATGTCATTTGTAAAAATTGCATCACCGATTGTGGCCATATCCTGTCCCGGGGGTCATAATTTGAACAATTTAGATTCTACACTTTCTCTGGGACCTTATGTGCCAGCGGGCACGAAGAGGACAGGTGAGGTGAGGTGAGGTGAGGTGACTTTCTCAGGATGCTTTACACTTAAGATTTAGCTTTTCTGGTCCAGTGGTTCTTAAGTAGATGTTTAAAAGACCCTACCCTTTTTCGTCTTTTCTTGATTATCTCCCCTTGAACGGGGACTTGGTCCTTCATTTTAACAATTTTAAATCCCCTCTACTCAAGGATACTTTGTACTATGTTTGGTTAAAATTAGACGTGTGGTTTTTATAAGAAGAAGTCGAACATGTGAAAAGGACAACGGGTGATCAGAAAGGCTCACGTGAGCTCTCAGCTCAACTGAGCTAAAAAGTAATAAAACTAGAGGCATGGTAAGCATGGAGGTCACTTTAATGCTACCCTCGCCTTCCCTTTAATTATAATTACAAAGTCCATGTTTTGCTCTAGGAGACGTAAAAAATAGTACCTCTTTGAAAGTATTGCTCAAATAATTCTAATTTTAATAACCATGACAAAAACACTCAAGAAGCAAAAATTGATTTTTAAAAAATCATGTATCTTAGGGCAGTCTACTTGTGTGCCAGGTTATATTAAAATCGAACTAAAACTGAAAGAGAAGTGGTATTTTTAAAGTACCTCACAAAAAATTCAAATTCTAATAATCGATGCACTAAATATTTTTCTGTGTGTCATGTTATGTTGAAATTAAACAAAACTGTAAAAGGAGTAACACTTTAGGAGAAAAGTCAGAAATTTCTTTTTTAGTAGCCATGGCAACATCATTCAATATTTTTAAAAAATGCACTAGAATGTGTAGGTAAATTTAGTCTTCATGTGTGCCAAGTTATAAATACACTGTAAATCAAACCAAAACTGTACAGGAGGAGTATTATTATGAAAGAATTTTGCAGAAATTCGTAATTTTTAGTAACAATGGCAAGACTGTTCGTCAAAATCAAAAACTCATGCAAAGAATTGTGTATCTCAATGTAGTCTGCTTCAAAACTATTAGAAAGTAACATTCTAAGAAATTGTTTACAGATAGACATACGACAGACACCTTATTTTTGCATAATCTCTCCTTGTGTCTATATCTTACAATAAACAGTTACCATTGTCCAAAATAGATGATATTTCTTGTTCCGCAAAAGTTAGTCGAATATCCCAAATTTTTCTTTGAGACTCAGTGCTAACTTTTCTCTCAATGCCTCCCCTTTTTAATGACTCGCTGGGTTTTTTTGAGCAAAGGTTCATTATCAATGGAAGAGCCAAGACCATGTTATGTTTTTCGGCGCAAGCAGCATAATTTACAAGCGTTTCAGATTGAATGCAATAGCCTTTCTCTTCATTTGTACGTTTGCAATTTTCTAGGATGAATGATTCGCATTTCTCTTTGAGGTCCATGATTTGGTATTCATCTGCCAAGGATGCTACCTCTAGTACGTTTTTCTCTGTAAATAATTCAAATTTTTATGCATACTTACATGAAATATATGAAATGAAGGATATGGAGATAACGAACAGTATTCAATATCAAAGACCATACAACAATACAAAATAGGAACAGAGCAAACACGGACCTCCAAAACATCAGAGGTGGGATCAGGTGCCATGGAGGAGTGAGCATCCCCTGCCAACCAGTCACATCCGCCATGTGTTCCTTATGTTCAGGAAAGAACGGAAAATCCGTCGTCAATTAAATGTTTAAGTAATGGACCAATAATAAGTTAGTATGAAAAATGTCTGCATTTGACTCAATGATAAGTTGTATTTGCTGACAGGGTCATTTTATCGATCATAGAACTTACGAAATGATGACTTTAAACGAGACTGCTCGTTTACATGATATTCTTGCTTCATCAAATTATTTGTCAATAATTTACCTCGTTTAGAAATTTTTCATACGTAGAGCATGCTCTTGCGGATCGAATCAACTGAGCTAAAATAAACTGCGTATACAGGTGATGCTGGTATATTGCTGCATAAGTAAAGGAAGTTGACGATAGAAAAGTTAGAGTCAACAATTTTATCAAAGAACTTGGTTGTTAGATCAACATTAACATCTTTTTCAGTAAGAGGAAGGATATGGAGATAACGAACAGTATTCAGTATCAAAGTCCATAAAGCAATACAAAATAGGAACAGAGCAAACACGGACCTTCAAAACATCAGAGGTGGGATCAGGTGCCATGGAGGAGTGAGCATCCCCTGCTGACCAGTTACACCCACCGTGTGCTCCTTGTCATGATCAGCATATAACGGGAAAAAATCCGTTGTCAATTCAGTATATGAATAATGGACTAACAATTAGTATGAAAAACGTCGCTCAGCATTTGACGCAATGATAAATTGTATTTGCAGACAAGGTCATTGTATCGACCATAGAACTTACGAAATGAAGACTTTAAACGAGACTGTTGATATTCTTGTTTCATCAACTTGCTTTTCAATGATTTATCACGTTTTAGAAATTGCACATATGTAAAGCATGCTCTATGATAAACAAATCAACTGAGATATATAAAATTTTGTCTCAGTGTACGGGAATATATCGTATCGAATCTACTGGGAGATGTTAACTCCGTATGCAGGTGATGAAGGTATATTGATGCATAAGGCAGTTGACGATAGAAAAGAAAAGTTAAAATTCTTTACCTTTGTCATAGATCTTGCTTTATAGATTATCATTAACGTCTTTTACATGTCAAATATCCAAGTATGAAATAGATGTGTCAGACTTTGTGATATCTTTTATTTCAAGCTCGATATATCGTATCGACATAAAAATGAAAGTTATCATTGTTAATTGCCAATACGTCGTCGATATATTAAGATGTCGAGTTGAAGGCCACAGAGGGTGTTTTCTACTTTTAAAGTTTAAATTTTGAACAAATTCTGCTTCTCATGAATACAAAATTAGGTCTGCTAATAAGGGGGCGTAATTGATACCAATGGAATTGTTGGAAAATCTGGTCTCCAAAATCCACACATGTCAATCAGAAACTCAAGCATCTTTTTTATGTCAACTTCAGAGTAGTTGTATGTACAATCAGAATGTTTTTAACGAAATAATTCTGCAAATAACCAAAGACAAGGAATGGCTAAATTAAGATTTCCGTTTTCATAAAAAAAAGCAGCTGTCAATGATATCAAAAAACGAGGGCTTTAATTTATTGTGGGGAATGGTCGTATATAAAGTTGAAAATTGTAAATGTTTAAGCTGTTGATTTTGTTAAAATCCTGTGAGTTCAAATTTGACAAAAGTTCCTTGGAATTTTTAAGCTTCTACATCGCTTCTCGAATATATTTTTACACACTGGTCTTGAAGTTTCTCATTCGCTTCTGTAAACGTTTTAGTGAGGAATAAAGATAGAGGCTTGGTTGAACATTTACTGGAACCCGCATTGTAACTGTGTAAGGATTTTTGTGTGGTTTCGGAATCCAATACAAATATACTAAAATTCATTTTGGTTGCTTTGGATATAAAAAAATATTGAAAACTGACATAGGATTTTGAGAAATTTCGTTATTAGAAAGGGAACTTTGAGTATTAGCTAGATTACTACTTGTAGAATTTAATCCACATTCTTCGAAAATACAATTTCTATAATGAGCCTACTAACGAAGACAATGTTACCTGCTTTACCAGTGCGTACTGATCATGTAATCTATATGTAAATTTTATTCCTTTTCACTTCTGGATTATTGAATACAGAAGGATAGAAGGTTTTTGTATTGCTCCTCAAACTTTTGATAGGCGATTGTAACATACGAAGGCTGTTCAATAAATAATGTCTTGAGCTCTATGACATACAACATAGAAATTATATGACATCCAGCTTGACCTCTCATTATTGAATCTTTAATGAATTGATTACGGTTTATGTGAGCTCTTTTCATCACACTGTTTCATTGTGAGAAGCTAGAAACAAGGACTATTCGAGACACTGCATTAATAATAAATGGAAAAGAATAAGTAAAGTAAAACTAGAAAGAAACTCGTTGCGAGCAACGAGAGGTCTTCCGTCCGATTCAGAAAAAAATTAAAATCAAACTGAAAAAAGTGATTTTATAAATCGGACACACGGCGGATCGAACCGGGGTCGCCATCCAATGCGGTACCCATTACACCTATGGGAACCCACTTCAAATTTAACATTCGATTATCGCGAGATTGCTTTTTTGATTCCAACAGAAATTACATTTTTTAAAAAAAATTCAGTTTGAATTATAAAATAAGAGCTAGCTTGCTAAACTTTGCTCAAGATGATCACATCGGAATTTGTTACTTCAGTTTTAACAGTAATTTTTAAGATAGATAATCTATGATACTGTTAGAAATGTATGTTCTTATGACCGGAATTTCGAGCGTTAGAAAGTATATTTATCACATTGTACAAATATGATATCGTATACGGCCAAGTAACACTAAAGTAATGAATTCGGTAAGATTCTCCACGAATTTTGTATCGTGTTTACCCACAAAGTGGAGATGAGCTACACGTTCATGAAAAGACTGGAATGTTTCACTGCCAAAAAAGTCAGCCGCCCTCTGACGCTCAAGGAATTTGATACGAGTTATGTTCCATAACTTGCAGTTATTACAAGAATATTTATATTACCTTTAATAAACAATCTTTCAAAAAACTGTTCTTCTTATTTTTGCCTTTTTCTATTCATTTAATATGTCACAAGCCGGAGTGGAAAAATAAACAGAAGTCAAGTAATACTTCAGAAACATGGTGAATGTTAAGTAAGGCAAGTTTCTTGAAATGCTATTACTTATAACCATGGTTTAGGATAAGTTTTCCCTGGTGCAAAAGAAAAGGTTGTAGTTATCGTATTTCCACTTGTACTGTAGTGTTGTATTCTACTTTGAGATGCAGGCAAAAGCAATTTCAATAGACGTTTGAGGAAACCTCATATTAAAACTATACTCAGTGCAACGTAATTGCGATGTAGCAATCTAAAGAATCCTTTACATTTCATAAATCTTTTTGTAGAAGTTTCGTTCATCTAAACGCTCAGCTGACCTTCTAGAACCCGACTTGCTTCATGGCGGAGTTTACGGAGACCGCCGCCATCTTTGACACGCCTCAGATTTTTAAATGCGAATATCTAGTGTGTGGATTGATCAATTCTTAAATAAATTATATATTAGGCATTTCCAGCAGGGTCTTAATTACCATTAATTATATAAAAGAAAAAATATTGAAAAACAAAAAAAATTGAAAAAGTACATATTTTGAATTCACTTCCAGTAGCGACCGGAAGTACTGACGACACAAACGAAGTCAAAATTGCACATCTATAACTCATGGTCTATCATTCTTAACAAGTCTCCAGTTAATATCTTGAGCCGTTTTCGAGAACATTTAAAGACAAAATTGCATTTTAAAATCAGGAAATTGCCCATAACTTAGCACTGGTAGCAATGTTTCCAACAAACGGAATTTTATATAAAATTCATATAATGACCTATAATTTCTGAAATTTTCATTGAAATCCGCCGAATAATTTTTGAGAAATCGCCTGCACAAAATTTTGTCTAAAAAAAAAGAATAATAATAATAAGAAACAATAGAATCACTATAAGGTCTTCCGTGAAGAACGGAAGACCTTAATTAGACTGAAATTAAGCGCTTCATTAAAGCTATTTTAAATCTCGTTAAGAATCCGAAAGAAATATTTACTGATATATGTGAAATTTACAAAACCAATGTCTGTTTTATAGAAACATGGGCAGATGGATTTCAATGAACAAAAATGATATAATGAGCTTCAAAAATGGTACCGTCCTTGGCGACAAGTACTTAAAACAACCAATGTTCTGTTTGGCCAAAATTCAACAAATTATCAATGATGTTTGATTGACATTTCGACACCTAACAAATTGAAAGGCATTATTTTGGGAGTAGTTTACACTATTTCAAAGAAAGATTTAACAATAAAAAAGATTAGTACCCAATGGTCACCCTATCATTTGAAAAATGAGTGAAAAAGACAGCGTGTAGGAATATCTAAACACAATATTTAAAAATCAAAAAATTTATTTATCCACGTTTGTCTTAAATTGAAAGAGATTATGAAATTTGAATCCATAGTTTTAAACTAAAACAAATTTACAATAAGATGCACTTGACAAAAGCAACCAAAGACTGCAAAGAATTGCAAAAGCACAAAAACGTCGTATGACATCATAACTAGTGAATGTGTTTAGCCTGTACTAGATCCATTATGACGTCATAATTATTTCAATGTCACTTTTTCCCGTACTTTACAGCTTCAATAGAAATGGAAGATAATACTACCTTTTGAAATTCACGGTGGAATTCAATTTAAAATCATGCTGAAATAATCTTAATTCAATTCATATTTTTTAGGTTTATAATGCTTAATGACAATATATTTATGAAATTAGAGAAACCTGTAGGCACCTTTCATTTACTAGATCTTGACCTTAATAAAGTTGACAAATCCAAAACTATTTTGTGTAATTAACTTACATGTACAATGTTTACCATTTACTGTAATAATGTGAATGGTATGTAACTATTTTGAAGGAATGTAAAAATCCTAAGAATTCTTCAGTTGCCAACTTAATAGTGTAATATCCTGATGAAGTCGTACGTGTTGTAGATGTGTTCCATGTGTGATTTTTTTGTGATATCTATATTGAAATGATGTGCATTCCTTTCATAATTATTTGTTACTTATTCATATTCTTGGTGTTTGATTACAATTTTTCTATAAAATATCTTTTTAGATAAAAATTTCAATTTTTGATAAACATTTTTCATCTTAAAGTAACCCCACACAGTCATTTAATAATTAAATCCCATGTAAGTGCATAAAGGCCAAGAATATTAGCCTCGGTAAATAGCCTCTCTCTCATTAGTTAGAGGCAAAAGGTATAAATTTCAATCACTTTTTAAATTTCTTTGGGTATGTTCTTTATCATATTAAAGATTGAAAACATTGTGACAAAGACTTCTGAAAATATTTACAAATAAAGGTGGAAAATTGACTGAAAAAAACAGAGTATATTTGCCAATTTTTTTTAATGTGGACTGATCTTTTATGTCAATTGAATAAAAAGAAATTATTCTTGAGAAATGTTTCTTAATATTGTTCAGTTAATAAAATCTAAACGACGATGTTTGAGAGATATTTTTGTGATTGTTCATATTCTCTTCTTGACAAGGCAATTAAGGTATCATGAGCTTTTAACTGATTGATAAGCAAGTACTAATTTATCATTTTGGAAAGTTTAAAAATCTTGTGACAAAAACATTTCCGACATAGGTTCTACCTTAAGTTAAATTAAATTCCTAAAATCTATTAAACCCGTAACTGCACATGTTCAATCAACTGTTATTTGTTATCTGATAATGGGTAAACAAGAACTGAAGTAACAGTGGGTTGTATTTCAAAGTTTGTGTTGCAAATAATATCATTCAGTGTGTAGTAGATGGCAAGAGATACAGATTTTTACATGTCATAATACAACGGACGAAGATACAGATAAAAGAAAAGTTTATTTTAAAAACAGTTCCGATTTAAAGGCGATGCAAACAAACAAATAAATAAAAACCAGGTAAACAAGAACAACACCTACCGGTTATAGGAGCCAAACATTCAGGGTTATAAAAAGTGCATAGAAAATTCACAAAATCGCTGTACTTTTTTTCTGGCAGTGGCACTCTTTCTTTGTATTTTTCACTAAAGTCGGATTCAAACATGGCCTTAAACACGGGTGAATTGTCAATTAACACCTGTTTATTGAGGTGTAAATCCACCCCTTCTACCTCTAGTATGACGTCAGTGGGAGGGAAGGCTGTTTTAGGTGGCTCACTTTGAGCTTCGATTTCTGTGCTTTGAGATGAATCCTCCGATTCAAAGTCGAGCTTGCATTCAGTGGCCATGTTTTCTCCAGCTTTTCGTGTATTGTAAAGGTAGAAAGATTCTAAATGCATTGAACTGAAAAAATCAATAGAAATACCGGTTCGGAAACGGGGCTCTGCACAGGATTTATTTATCAAGGTTGTCATGCATTTATTTATTTAACGACAGTACAGATAGAATTATATGCACGATTTGCTAAGTTTCAATGTTGATTTAGTATACATATATATAGATAACTTTCTTACTAGCATTAAAAAGATAAACCTTCCATGAAAACATTGATTTGCACTTTAAGCACCATATTATTAAAAGAAAAGTATATATCTGCTCGAGATGGTAGTTTAAAAACGGCATGCACTTGTTTAGCTTACAGCAACAAAACTTGTGAATAACTTCTTGTAAAACCCAAAACATGTTAAACAATATGAGCTGCAACTTTCATGTTACAAAGTTTGGTTCAAAATTGGAATTATTTCAAAGACAGAAAAAAGAACGTTTACACGTCAAATGTGCATTTATCGTGCCGAGACCATTCCGTGGAATTTTTTTTTATCTTTTGACCTGGGCCTTTGAGTTTAACCCCTTTTAGAATATTCACCAAACTCGAGAGCTTTTTACTAAATTGTACTTAGATGAGTTTCATATATTTTTGAAAATCATAAATGTGTAATGAGTAATGAATAAGGCAATGGGCCTATACCTGAATAGTCCAAGAGCCTGTTCACCCCTGTTCGAATGGTATAGCCCTTGGCTATATAAAAGGCTGCAGAGGCAGTCTCGTTCATTCTGAAACCCGTGGAAGAAGTGGGAAGTTGAAAAGAAGATAAGAGGTAATATTAGAACAGAAGAATTAAAATAGTGAAATAAAAGTAAGGCTAGGGTACAGAGCGCCGGTAAATGGTCAGCCAAGAAATTGTAGTGTAGTGCAAGTAAAAACATTTTTGTGACGTCATTCTTTTGTTTCTACAGTCTCGTATTTCAAAGAGGGTACTAGGTATAGTCCAATATTATTGTCAGGAGTACAATATTATATCTAATATTGTACTCCAAAATAATACTGGACTGTGTGAAACAAAGGATTTTGCACAGCGAATGAATAAGGCAGAAAATAAACAAACATTATGCATTTTATATAGAAATCAACAATCTCGTAATCCAATTCAAGCAATGGAGCAATCAACATCTCGTAATCCAGTTTAAACTTTAAAGAAACCAATTTATGCAACGAAACTTCAAAATAGGAGTATCTCAGAAATCCAGTAGAATTTACACTCCGTCCAGACAGGTCACTGATTGTGAAACAACCGATATTGAAGCACTTATCTTAAACTTGTGATTTTTCCGAAAACACATCCAAATAAATCCACGTAAAGTGGTTCATTGTAGAACATTACATTAGGACAATTTTACACTCGACCTGTTAATATATCCCGTACAACTCTGATTTTTTTTACCGGAAATTTTAATTTCACAATATATTTCCAAATTCGTTTACGTAAAGATGTGGTGCTTTCAATATCCAAGGGACAAAAACGGCTCTTTAATTCCTGGAATTTATTTGCCTAATGGTCACTTACAATCTTCACACGTTAAAAAAAGATCCTTCACAATACTCTCAGAATCGCTTATTATCATGAAGTTGCTCAGCTCTTCTTAATGCGTCCGTAGAGTGTCGCAATGATAAATAATATATGATTGGGGTTCAATAAAGGTTTTTAAATCAAAATCTATTCATCCCTTTGAAAGAAATATCTGAAACCCTTAAGCGCCCCATCCATCTGGTTTGGTCACCGTCACAAGTATCATATTATGACAATAGCAATACAAAAGTGCATTGAAAAAATGTTTTAAGGTCAGACGACACGTTCCTCAAACATATGTCCTGTTTCTCTTGGTACTATATCAAAAAATATTAATATTTGTCATTCTCTTCTGATTTCTACATTGTTTTAAAAATGTTTTTAGTAATAAGTACACCCAAAATTGTGATATAGACAATTCAAGAGATTACTCATAAGGGTTATATAAGAAATATGACCCTGTGGTATCTTGTCCAAATGCCTGGTAAGGTACCCTAAATTTTTGTGAGGAAACTTGTTTAAGTACCTTTAAATCAACGACAAATTCTTAGGAAAAATTATATATTTTTGAGGAACGTGTCGTCTGACCTTAAGTAAGATACAAAACTCAGATGGTCTATTATGTCAGAAACGGGACTGAGACTCGGTGCTTCGCACCTTGTTCCAGTCCCGTATCTTACATATTAGACCATCTTCGTCTTGTATCCCTTACGTATAGTAGTCCTGAATAAGGGTGAGGTACCGAGTACACTACAATAAGAACTTGGTTTCGGAACCAGGTGCAGGGAACCCAATCATACAGGTAGTATTTGGTAACAAAGAACCTCGGCTTGTAGATCCCGGTGTTCAAATAAAAAAAAACAAACAAGGACAAGGATCCCATGAAAATAATAAATAATCATACTTGTACATAATTTTAATTCCCAGTATTAATTATAGGCTGTATATATTTGCATCTAATTGACTTTTTACTAAAAAAAAAAAAAAAAGAGAGAGAGAGATCGCCTGTCCTCGTCGCTATGCGTCTGTTCGTCATTTGGTTTTCTCAATACTACTCATCGAAGATGATTGAAATTTTAGCACACCCTTTGTCTTGTTATGACAAATGGTGTTTTTTGCTAAAATCCAGATGTCAATTTTCTCTTTATCTGTGCGTCTGTCCATACCAAGTTTTCGTGAAAATTTTCTCAGAAACTACTCACAGCAGATGCTTGAATTTTTAGCACACTATTTCTTTTGGTATCCCATAAAGTGCTATTCATTCCTAAATAAAAAAATATTTAATCGTTTCTCAGGATTCTTTTTATTTACCGGTGCATAGTTGAGCGATGTGGCATTTGGAGCTCTATAGCTAGGTGATTATATGAGAAAAAACCTTAATGATTCATGAAAATAACAGCATTCATTCTCTACGGAGAGATTTAGAAGTCAGTTTTTAGAGGCAGCTAACAATACTGATCAAAACGTCTGTCGCAAATCAGAGATGATGAAAACTACTATTAATGTAGCTTACTGTCTGTAAATCTCACTTGATACCTAGAGGCAGAGCAAAGGAACAAAGAACAAATGCATTTCCACTATAAAATTAGTAGTGCTCCATCCCTCAGGAACCCTTGACCCTGGCGCCACACAATTACAATTTTTGAAATAATAAACTTGCTAATTTGCTCATTATAAATGTTTGATTAATACCAAGGAGAAAATTTCATGCAAAGAATTAAATCATTTCCAGTAAATAATCATTAATACATTAACACCCCACCCCTACCCAGGGTATCCCTTACCCAATAAATGGTCTTGTAATTTACAATTCTGAAAAATGCGTCCTTACTTCGATTATCAGCATAATACCAAGGAAGAAACCAGACAAAGAATTATTGCATTACCACAATATAATCATCATAGCCCTGCTAATAGTAGCAGTACCTCTGACCCAGGTGAAAATTTGTCTTCTCTTCTCTTTGCATTGTATCTTAATGACTTAGAAGAATTCTTAATAGAAACAAGATGTGTTTGTGAACCACTGATGCCCCCGTATGGCAACATAGCGAAGGTTAAGCTTTCTCAAATGCAGATCAAATATGTTGGTACCTAAAGAAAGGCCTTTTTCACAAGAAATACAAATGTGAAATATAAAACACTAGCATCACCTATTCAAGGGTAATGACCATGGTTAACATTTCTAAAGTAGGACAGACTCTGGGGTCAAGGTTAAAGGGTAAAGGTTGTTGGTTTCTAAAGAAAGGCCTTGTCTCACAGATTACATATGGGAAGTATAAAAGCGCTGGCCCTCACCGTTCAAAAGTTATGACCAAGGTTTTAGTTTGTAAAAAGAAGATGAAACTCCAAGGTCAAAGGTTTTTGATATCCAATGAAAGGTCTTGTCACATGGATTACACATTTGAAATATGAAAGCCCTAGCCATTACCGTTCAAAAGTTATGACCAAGGTTAAAGTTTTTCGTAAGTACAAAAATCTCCAAGGTCAAGGTCAAAAGGTAAAAATTGTTGATTTCAAATGAAAGTTTTTGCCAATAAGAATTGATAAAAGTAAGTCAAAGTAAAAGTTTGGATTTTTTGTGTAAAAGTGGGTAAAAATCATAGGTCAAGGTCAAAAGGTCAAGGTTCTTGGTATAAAATGAAAGGTCTTGTCACAAGGAATACATATGTGAAGTATGAAAGCCCTAGTCATAACCCTGCAAAAATTATGGTCAAGGTTGTTTTTTTTAAAGTAGGTCTAACTCCAAGATCAAGGTCAAAGGGTCAAGGTTCTTGGTATCTTATGAAGCGTCTTTTCACAAGGATTATATATGTGAAGTATTTATGCCATAGCACTTTTTGTTCAAAAGTTATAGCCAAGGTTAAAGTTTTTTTATAAGTACAAAAATCTCCAAGGTCAAGGTCAAAAGGTCAAGGTTGTTGGAATCAAATGAAAGGTCTTTACACAAACAATATATATGTCAAGTATTAATGTTCTGGTGTTTACTGTTCAAGAGATATGGCCAAAGTAAATATTCAAAATTTTTGTGTAAAAGTGTGTCAAACTCCAAGGTCAAGGTCAAAAGGTCAAATTTGATGGTACCCCGAAAAAGGTCTTGTCACAAGGAATACACATGTGAAATATGATTGTCATAGCTCCACTAAATCAAAAGTTATGGGCAAGGTTAAAGATTTTTCGGACAAACAGAGAGACAGACAGACAGCTAGACAGACAGACAGACGGACACGACAAAAACTATATTCCCCCGAAACTTCGTTTACGGGGGCATAAAAAAAATGTTATTTGATTGAATAGTCTGTCTGAAGAAATTGAACAAAAGCTAGATGTATACTTAAGAATTATGATTATGCTCTATGCAGATGATACTGTATTGATGTCTGAAACTAAGGATGATCTTCAATATCAACTCAATTGTTTTCGAAACTATTGTGAAAAATAGAAATTAAATGTGAATGTTGATAAAACAACAATTTTAATTATTGGTAAGGGCAGACAATCTTCCAACGTAGTATTTACTTACAATAATAATGAGATTGAAATTTTAAAAGAATTTAAATATTAAGCAGTGTGTTTCTCAAGAACTGGATCATTTTATAGTACAAGAAAATGTACTGAGCAAAGAGTAACCAGAGTTATGTACGCCATAATAAAGAAAGCACGAGAATTGAATCTGTCCATGGATTGTCAAATTTATATGTTTGATAAAATGGTTATCCTTATCCTTCTTTATGGTTGCGAGATATGGGGATTTGAAATTGTTAACATTATTGATAAACTTAAATTAAAATCTTGTAATCTCATACTTCATCTTAAGACATCTACTCCATTTATTGAAAGATTGGTAGATATCCATAGAGTGTAAATATTAAATGAGAATGATACAGTTTTAGGGAAAACTATTGAAATGTAAAGAAACAAAATTATGCATATTTTATATAATGTCTTATAGAGTTCATCAATGTACAACAATGTTAATTGTAGTTCTAAATGGATTGAATGTATACAAAACATTTTTCAAGAATGTGGTTTAAATTATGTGTGGATGGCACACAATGTAGAAAATGAAAAATGGTTGTTAATTAAAATGAAGCAAACACCCATTGATCAATTCATACAAAAATGGAAATCAAATTGTGATACATCGAGTAAAGGAAAGATCTACGAATTGTTCACTAACAGTAATTTTACATCTAGGCAATATTTAAGTATTTGAGAACAAGTGCTTTACAGTTTTCAAATTTCAAAAGTTTTTGAGTCCGAACAATTATTTAATTTTAAACATTAAAAATAAATTATCGGTAGTTAAGCTATGAGAATCTACTGGGTTTATTATTGATAGAGTTGATTGCTTGATTTATGACACTGTCATTTTTCATCGTTTCTTTCATTTTTCTCACGCACGCTGTATTGTACACATTTCATGTTTGTATAGATCTTTCTAGTATACGTATATATAGATAATATATAGAGTTCCTTTAAAATAAAAAGCATTTGTCAATGATATCAAAATGCCTGGAATTTTTCTTGGGATGTGGTTGTATTAGGATCAGTGATATAAAAACATTCCCCATTGTGGAAATAAATTGTAGCTGTTATCTATTCTACAATTTTTTTCAAGGAAGTTAAGGCGTTTAGTATCTATTTCGTACTTTGTTAGGCTTGTAATTTCGTTATATTTACAGCCATTTTTAAAGCCAGTGGAATTGCATTTTGATGCTAGTTCAACCGCACATGACAAAAGATTTTTCAGTTCATATCTTTCAGCAGCGATTATGTAATCAATAATTGTCTCCTTTGAAAATGTTTCAACTATTTTGCTACTAGCTTCCTTGATAAACAATTTGCAATTAGCTACGAGGCGATTTTCACATGTTTCCATCTTAGAGTCATATTGAGCTTCCCAGGCTAGTTCCATTAATTTTAAAATATTTTTTTCTCCTGGAAAAAAAAGAAATTCAGAAATTATGATTAAACAAAGAAGACAGACGTTTCTTTAAAAAAAAATAATGTGGTTCATCATGAATTAAATTTTACAGTTTCATTTTACCTTTATCTAAAGAAGATACTATCTCTTGTTCCATCAAAGCACATCGAGTTTCCAAAATATTTCTCCGCATATCAGCCGTAACCTTCGTATCTATGTTTGCCTCTTTTAGTGACTCAAAACTGTGTTTTGAGCAAAGTTCTTTAATCAAGGGAAGAACCAAAGTCAAATTATGTTCTTCAGAACAAGCAGCATAATCCAAAAGAGTTTCTGTTTCAATTCGATAATTTCCCTCTCCGCAAGCACGTTTGCAATCTTCAAGGATGAATGATTCGCACTTATCTTTGAGGTTCATGATTTGGTATTCATCTGCTAGAGATACAACTGCTAGTACGTTTTTCTCTTTAAATGGTAAAATAAAATAAGAATCATCTTGATATTGTAACCTTTCATGTAAAGCTATCATCGCATCAATCTACAAACAGTTACACTGCAATATTACTGTGTGATAAGAAAGAATATTTCATGATTTTTTCCCCTAATCAAACAATTTTAAGTTTCCTTATGTAAATTATCTTCGATATTTTGGGTTTTGAAAAGATACTCCCAGTATAAAGTATTTTCATACCTAGCCTCTTTTGTAGTTAATATACCTAAGAATGTGATAGTCGGACAGTCAGTCAATACAGATTTATACAATATAATAGTTCTTCTCACGGCGATTCTGCAAAGTTTATGAAATCATTAACACTAGATAAATACTTACTGGTTAATGGAGCCAACAGTTCCGGGTTGTAGAAAGTATATAAAAAATTTACAAAATCTGCATACTTCTTTCCTGGCAGTGATATCCTATCTTTGTGTTTTTCGCTGAAGTCAGACTCAAACATGACCTTAAACACGGGAGAATTGTCCATTAACATTTGTTTGTTGAGGTGTATATCTGTTCCTTCTACCTCCAATATTACATCAGTAGGAGGGAATGATATTCTACGCTCCTCATTCTGGAGTTCGTATTCCTCTTGTACAGAACAGGGGATCTCCGATTCAGTAGCCATGTTGTTTTTCTTTCTTTCTTGGTTTTTGCAATAGTCAATGGAATGTTTACGGTTTACAGGTTTTTAAATATGGAAGCCCATTAAAGCAAATCAAAACTAGGCACAACATACCAAAAGTACTGAATCTAGGTGGAATATGCCCGTGATATGTGATATTCATCCCAAGTTATCTGGTATATGCAAAAGCTTACATTTATACCGATAAAAAAACTATATTTAAAAAACCACTGGAAAACAACAAGTGAGCAATTATACGAAAAATGCATTTTGTACCTTATATTTTAGATATAAAAAAAAAAACTTAAAGAATTTTCGTAAATAATTTGTATGAGGGCTGTTCGAAAAATCTGCAGACCATGTCAATCTTAGTTATAATATCTCCATGAAGTTTAAATCGTGCACATAATCTTATGTTAAAAAGATATTTTTTTTCATTTTTTTTAAAGTTTTAATTCATGTGAGATATGATGTAGTCCAACAATTCAAAATAATGTGATCACCTGCATATGGAGTTTATGTTTTACCAGTTTATTTGATACGCAAGAGGATACTCTACGTAAGACAAATTTATAAAACGAGACAAGCTATTAAGTTTATGAAACAAGAATATCAACATTCTTTTCGTCAACATTTTGCAAATTCTATTATGTATGTTATAATATTCAGCTAACTGTAGTATACCTGTGTCTAGTATAGTGTTTTATTGAGTAAATTTCCTTTTCTACAATTAGCACACAGATACATGTAGATAGATATTTATTTGGTATACTATATATACATTGTTATAATATATTTTTGACAATATGATTTTAAATTAAATATATATTAAATTATATATATATTATATATAAAAGTTTGGCACTAAACAGTAGAATTAAGATAATATATCGGAATCAATTAGTTTTCGAAAGACATGAATATAATTCACATAACAATTGTATACCAAGGATAACCCATGAAAGCCAATGGCTTATCTCCAATGGGGTCCTTGTACTCATACATGTATATTGGATGTTATATAGAATAAACAGAAAAACATGTAAATACTAAAGCTTAGATGTGGGATCAAGTTGACAACGCAGAGATCCTAAAATAAATTGTAGTATGTATATATACCAAATCTTCACCTGGTTGTAACTTAAAAAAATTTAGTTGTTCAAGTATTTCGTAATTCACAGATGTCTGTGGACCTTAATTCAAATTCTACCACGATTATTGTAAACATCAAAGGAAACCGCCGGACATAATTCTCCAATAAATCACGAACGTCATCAAAAAATTATCAGATCAGAAACACGTATTAAATCTTAACAATTCAAATGCATGTTTGGCTGTAGAATGAAATACTTGTTTAGACCGCATCGATGTGTCGTCTTTTGCAGTACATGTATAAACACTGAAAATTGCATCAAGTTGCTGATGATTGTCGGGGCTATTCCACGAACCTCCCTACACATTAAACAACGTGATTTTAGCATTAAAACAGGAACATATATTCATTTTAACTGATCAATACATATTATGAACATATTTGTAATTTTAAAAAGGCTATTTTTAATGTAACGAAAGCTCAAATCGTCTGCATTCTATACACAGGTAAGCACACAAGTTTTACCTTTGGTGTTAAATGAAACAGCGTAATCGAGACATGGTGACCTAATTCGTTTCTCTATAATAATTCAGCGTTTGTACCATACATGGTACAATAGAAATAAAGTCCTTGTTGTCGTGAATGATGCAGAATAACCTCCTCGGTCTCGAAATGTTTTTTGAAATATAAAAGCCTCGGCTTTTATCTTTTAAACAACATTTATCGACCTCGGAGGTTATTCTACAACATTCACGAAAACAAGGACTTTATTTATTAAATAAATCGAACCATCTTGTTTTGTCAAATTTGTAACTTTTTCTTTAACGTTTTGGAGAGCACTAGGGGTCGGTGTTATGAACGATAACTCACTGCTGAAACTTGTTTAGAGCAGGCTCGGGGTATCTAACTGTTTACACGCAAGGCAGTTTTTAGCATTTCCCAAGTGTTTCCTTACTCTCAGTAGAATCCAGTGGTTTTAAAATTTAGCACCAATGTTAAACTTATTTACTGTATAGTTGCGGACACCGGTTTACTGCATATAATTAAATTTTTTAATTAAAATAAAAAGTGAAATCTACCCTCCTTCTCAGTTCTAACCTATTTAAATTTTTATATTCGGTCGTTCCCCTTCGTGCTTAGTAACACAAATAATATGATCAATCGTTGCATTTACTTGTAAAAAAAATACATATTTACATAGGAAGCGAAAAAGCGCGAACACAAAAAATATGACATTAAATTTTCTTCTTCATAATAATCGTCAAAGAGAGTTAAAACTATTGAATATAGTCTGTTCACCATTCATTTGACCCTGTTATTTCAGGTAGAGTGAAGACATTCTCTTTCTCTTGGTCAAAACTTTTTGTGTACAAAACAATGTAAGGAATCCTTTTGTGTATATAACAATACCAATGCTGAAGCAGCCTATATGTCATTCCTATAAACGATAACTCATAAATCGGCACTAAATTGGTCAATTTTCACACCTGAGTTACCTGTCCTTAAACACAACATCGGAAAAGTTTATTATAAATGATTAAACATTTTAATGATGTAATTAAAAGTATGCATAAGTTATTATCTTTTTTGATAATTTCATGTACCTATAAATCTATCTATACAATGTTTTTTACCATATGTGCAACTTGAAAAATTAGTTAAAAGGCCTACTGTATACCAATCACTACAGGGGTAATCAATATGTATGGCACGCCAAATTCACACAAATGAGCTAAACCTAGTTTCACAATTGATAAACTAGGTTTATCAACTGTAAACAAATCGTAAACTATAGTTAACGATTTGTCATTATACCCCCTCCCCCTGTTGAAAAGCTGGAGGATATATAGTTGTCGGTATGTCCGTCCGTCTGTCTGTCTGTTATGCTTTTGGGTACCCATCTCTTATCCGCAACTCCTCTCATACCACTGAATGAAATTTTATGAAACCTTCACAGAATCTTTATTACATATTGCCATTGTGCACCTTCTATTTTACTTTTTGGGGAGGAGGGGTTATCATTTAGTGATCTCATTGCTCACAGTACCTCTTGTTTTTTCTTTTAGACTCATAATAACCACTGCAATTAGAGTGAAATGATAATCAACTATTTGATACATGGATGACAAATGTCTGATAAGTTACGAGTCAATAATTTGAAAAATGGTCAAAATACGATTATTTCCTTAATGCTTACTCTGTATATGAATATAATTGTTAGTTTGCAATGTATGTCTATGGTCAGTAAATATTCAATTAACAAGTGGACGTTTGTGGTTACACGTTCTGAATTTTGTTAAAACAATTCTTCAGTCTTTAGGAAGTTTACTTCAGTACATTTCCCTGGTCCAATAATTTTTTTTTTTTTGAAAATCCTGTAATTTAAACATTTAGATGAATTTGCTATGCTCACATGCCAGTCTTGTAAAAATTGATTTAACAACGTTTCTTTCACAATAGATTTTAAACCATGTCATGCTAATCAAATTTTGATTCATCCACACATAACTCACATAAGACAGACCACATGAATTCAAGATATTCCTTATACATTTCAACCATGGGTGCATAAATAATCCTTCAGAAAAGTGTTTATAAAGAAAGCAATACATTCTGTATGTCAGCTTACTCTCATATGACATCAAAAGTTTAGCCCAGTAAGTGATCATTCGTACCTTTATACGTATTATTAAAGGATATCGCCCAGTTCCCCATACACCTTACAATTTGGGGTACTGGACTTAACAAATTTCAAAAATATTAAGTGTACCTTTTCTAAGATATCTATGTTTTCGTTGCCCAATACTTCACATCCGTACAACAAAATTGGGCTTATAACTCTGTCAAAAAGATCACTTGCAAATCAAAATAACTTATCTTTCTAAGTACTCCATACATTGCTTTTGAAGCTTGTTTAGTTAAGTGTGTTTTGGCACTTTTGAAAAAAAAAAACACTACGGGACATGATAACCCCTAAGTATTTAAATTCGTTCACAATTTATGTTTGTGTGTCTCTGTACAAAAATAAATCTAGACTAATGAATCAGTCTTCTATTGTTAATTGTGTAATTGTGTCTGATTTTTGTTTTGGAGAAAGATAGGTATACTTCGGACAAGGTCTTCTATAAAAGTATTGTTATGTAACATGAGTTATGCCTAACATTTTACCTTTACTTTAAACAATAACCAAATTTTCCCCTCAAAGCACTTAAGCTTTAGTGGAAAAGATTTGTTTCAGTTTCAGACACTACAATGAAAACTTTTAAAATAAAAAAGGTGTAGGTGAAAGTTAAAAATGTATAAAGGAAAAAAAATAGGTAACGGTGCACTTACTCTTGTCTGAATGAAAGTTGATATTTAAAGACGTTTTGCAAACTTCAGAACATCACGTAATATCTGGATGAAATGAATAAAGAAAATGAATTACAATGCAATTGTCCATGGATTCCATTTTAGGTAAGGAGAAAATGTTTTTATTACGACGTACCTTTTTAACTAGCAAATGGTACTTCATTCTCACACATCGCATTTTTAAAGCAAATGGTATAATAATAGTTTGTCTAACGTTTATAATTAAACAAATTTTGTTATGCATTCCTGTTATGTTGTCCGGGAGTATGTCACGCGATCTGTCAATACCGCAAGATCATATTGTGAATACACTACTAGTAATTTTACATAAAAACAGTCCATAAATTAACAGCAGTTGAAGATATTTTGTAAAACAGGGAACACAAAATTTCTTTTATATTGTTATTAACATGAACATTATGTGGGTATATCTAATTTCGCTTATTCATCTTACACATGACGCCATTTTGGGTTTTCCGTACTTGGTGAATAAGGATCGTCTTTTAGACGATCTTCTGTACAATTTTGAGGTAAGATTGACTATTTCATATTTATATTCTCCCTCATTACGTTCGTCCGAAAATGAATTGATTAAACTCTTTA